GGGCCCCCTGTCTCCAAAATGTAGCCACCACACCTCCATCCTTGAGCTATTCAGTAAAAGAATTCAGGGGGAATAGAAAAATTGCTGAGTTGGTGAAGAGAGAGGTTAAGTGAGATGGCCTACTTAGTGTTTACCTGCCTGGATTTTGTGTCAGCACATCCTTGACCTTAGGGATCAGACGAGCTTTCTGAGGGCACAAGTCCTTGGGCCAGTGAATCCTCCCTAAGGCGCCTAGTCAGGTGCTTAAAACCCAGTAGGTGTTCTTCCTCTTCCCTTGCCTCCAAGGATCTGGGCGCAGTAAGCCACATTGTTTTCTGAAGCAGCAATCCCAGGCCTTGGCTAGAGAGGGAACAGATGTCTAACAAAAGGGAGGCACTTCAAGGAATAGACAAATTGACAAAGCCCAAACAAAACTCCACTTTGCCTGGTAGCTCTCCAGCTTCTATTCATTTGGAGAATAATTTGGCTTCGAGTGAAAAGCACCAGATTTGAAATCAGATGGCTCTTCTTTTTTTTTTTTTCCTTTTTCTTTTTCTTTCCCTTCCTGCTTTCCTCTCTCCTTTCTTCCCTTCCTCCCTCCCTCCCTCTGTCTCTCCCTTCTTTCCTTCCTTCCAAGTCAGTGAAATAAACTTATTACTGGAGAGCAGAATTTGATTTAAGAGATTCCTCCGTTTCATCCTGATCCTCCTTGGAATGCAGCCTAGGGAGGCTAACGTGTGAAATGATTACTGCCTCACTGGGGTCTCCTGTCCATGATTAGAGAAGCAGTTGGGTAAGAATCAGCTCTGACTGACATCCAGGCCCTGCTTTTTTGTTTAAATCAACTTAAGGAAAACTTTCCAGATGTAAAAGCGGTTGACTCATTTGCCTAGTGACTGAGATCTTTCATGGAAACTCCCTGTGTCATAAAAAGCAGAATTAGAATTAGTCGTTTGCAATAGGTTTGAATGGCCAACATTCATACTCCTGAAAGGAGAGAAATGATTTTGCTCTGGGGAAGCAGTAAGGGTTAAGAGGTGAATGCCTCTCCACTAGGAATTTTCTAAGCTGCTAAATCTAATTTTATTTGCACTAAACTTGTTGCCAATTAAGATTAAATATTAGCCTGAAATGCTGTATCTCTAACAGGAAGTCCCCCTTTTAATTGCTTATGACGGGACTGATTTTTGTGGGTCTGTGGAATATAAGAGAACAGCTAATCTATAAACTGCAGTAGAACATTAAGATTTCAGAATAAATTCGAAGAGGGCTGAAAATGAAATGTCCAAGTGGAAATTGTTAATTTTTTATGAAAATGTTTTCCTGTGCTGTGGCATTGATGGTGTGTATTTAAAGTATTTTTGTATTTCTTCTGGTTATCCCCCCCCCACATTAAAATCTTTATAACTTATTGTATTTATGCTGATTACTGTTAACTTTCCTCTTTACAAAATTGTGCCTCAGTGAATGTCAAATATTTTTGTTTCTTTGTAGTTTTACTTTATAATTTTGTTGAAATAAATATATCTTCTATTAGAAAACATTAAAAAATAGACATAATAAAGAAATCTAAGAGTTGTTTTTTATAGAGACCTATACAAGAGATGAAACTTTGGCAAATCAAATCAAGAAAAAAGGGGAACAACCCCAGACTGTAGAGCCATGGTTAAGAGAGATGAAAACTTAAAAGAATAAAAGTTAAACATCTATGCAAATACTTAGTAAATGGGTGATTTTCAAAAAAAAAGAATCACAAAAATATAACTTCTTTTAAAAGGCAAAGAATGTTTTTACTTTGCCATATTTTTTATCACTATATCAATTTATTCAACAAATATGTTTTGCTCAGTGATGTGGGATTTATACAGGTGAGTGGGACAGGACCTCTCCCTTCTGGAAACTTAAAACCTAACAAGATTTGTCGTTGAGTGATTTATACCTATCTTGCTCCCAAGGTATCTTTTAAAGCTGCACTATATTACATGTAAGCTTTTAAAATGAGGCAGAGAGAAAAAAAAAGTGGTACTAAGAATGAGGATAAAACAACCATAGTGCAAGAAAAAATTTTCAAAGTGTCATAAATATAAAATTAAGTGCTCCAGAGAACTTCAGAGGAGAGACTCCTTTGGGCTGAGAGAGTCAGGGAGGGCTTCACTGCGGGCAGGAATCTTTTAGTGAATGATGCTGCCATTCTCAAAGAACCAGCTTTGTTGGTTCTACCACATTCTTAACTTCTGCTTCAGTGTGATTTGCATAGCACTGGTACTGGCTGACAGCTCAATGGTTAGACCACAGTCCAAGGTTTCAAGTTGGTTCTTCTGGGGATTCAGGTCCCTCTGGCCTTTGTCCATAGGTCATACCTGTGACTCTCGTCAACTTTCTTACATGGTAAATGTGTGTTGGGTGTGGGCAGGGCTGAAGAGGGTGTTGAGCACAGAATAAAACACAGATCTGATCGAATCGCCCACTTGCTCATGTAAAGTTCAGGCTAGGAGAGCTGCCAGGCCCAGCACATTTTTTCCAGGCTCCTTGCCATGAAGAGTGGAGGCACTGAAGCCACCCCAGTCCACTGTGGGGTAATAACCACCCTACTCTCTCAGTTTCTGTCTTGGTGCTGAATTCCTTCAGGTTAGAATCCCTTTTTTTTTGTTTTCTTGGTGAACTGTTATTTTTCCAGCTCAAATGTCACAGTCTCTATTAAGATTCCAAGGTAAAGACCTCTGAGCCAGAAGAGGTAGAACTCCTTCATCAGAATTCTCATAATCCTGTGTGCACATCCCACTTACAGTTTTTGCCATATAGTATTTTAGTAAATTGCTTGAATGTTTTGTTTTTACTTACAACTTTGAACATCTAGAGATTAAAGAATATATTTTCGATTCATCTAAATTTACCAGATATTTATGGCACATTGGTTATTCAATAAAGATATAATTCCTGCCTTCAAGATCTTAGAGTCTAGTCTACTGGGAAAGGAGAGTGTGAAGGTGGAGTCACTGAAAAATAATTCCAGCACAGTCAGGTAGGTAGATAGACGTGTGTGTCAAGACTGTGGGAATACAAAGAAGGGAATACTTGTGGTGCATTTTCTATGTACCGGTCTCTATATTTATGCTGGAAATACAACATTCAGTAAGATATACATTTTTCCCTCTCTCATGGCACCTTCCTGAACAAAGCAAGTCAGGAAGGCAAAATGGAAGTTAAGTGTGCTTCAAGGGTCCAAGTGGAGAAAGGAGGAAAGAATATCCTAGAAGAAGGAAGGAGCAAAAGCAAAGCTGCAGGGTGCGTTTGGGAAATACTCAGCCGCTTGTGGTTGTGGGGAACACACGACCACTGCTGCGTGGCACAGTGAGGCGGTGTGGAAAGAGATGAAGATTAGAAAGGTAATTTAAGTTCGAGTTGTAAAAGGACATCTTTTGTGATATGTCAAGAAATATAGACATTTTCTAGGAATCCAAGGATTGTCAGAGCACCTCCAGAATATAGATGTTTATTCCAAATATAGATGTTTTCCCAAAGTCTCAATTTGAAGACGAAAAAAAAATACATCAAAGTATTATATAGAATGTACTTAATTTTAAAGTTTCCCTTTCAAATTTTTCTCAAGTCTTTGGTTCCTAGCAAATAGCAGCAGGCAATAAAATAATATAACAAATGGCAATTTAATATTAAAGGTAAACATTAGAAACTGTCGATAATCTTAGCTCAACCATTTGCTTTTTTAATAACATAGTTGTAAAGTAGTGAATTTTAATCTTGTCTTATTTTCTGCTAGAAAATATTGATTACGGGTAAATATTTCAGGATGTTACACATGGCATGCTGTGACTTCCAGATGCTTTGATTCCTCTATAAATTTTTCTGAAGAGCAACACTATTGAGATATAATTTACAACCATACAATTTATCTGTTTAAACTGCACTGTTCAATGGTTTTTATATGGTCACAGAGCTGTACAGCCATCACCACAATAAATTTCTGTGTGAGTCTAAGAACCATTGATATAAGCAATGGGGAGCCATGGACAGTTTACTGCAGGAGAGTGACATATATAGGCTGAGGTGAAACAAAGACTTCTTTTGCTACAGTAATGAAGACAAACTAGAGGCAGAAATCAGTTATTATAGCATCTTAGTTTCATATTGGAAATATTAGGGATGTTGACTCAATCAGCTGAATAAAGAGACTAAGATTGTATGTCTATAATGAGGAAAGAAAATTTTAATTGGAGGGGCTGATTTGATTGATAAGAATTAGAAAGATTTAAGTAAAATCTAAAAGGACCTCTCTGTTTCCTCTTGTATCCAAAATGCCTGGTTCAGTGATCAGATAATTTTATGACTGTGATAGTCTTTTATGATAGTCTGGGTTTATGGTGACACTGGCCTGAGCATGCAAAGGCAATCTCAGGCTGTTTAGCACAGCAGTGTCAGTGTGTGTTTGTGTTTGTCAACATCGAATGAATGATTAAAAATGTGTAATGAAAGGGTAGGATACTGTAGTACTTAAGCTCATGACAATGAAGCCAGGATGCTTGGGTTTGTGTCCTAGCTTGGATAAGATCTTCGACTTCTCAATTTTCTCATTTTTTAAGATGGATTTTTGAGATGATCAAATAAATTAATACAAAGTCCTTAGAAAATATCTGGCACATAGTAAATCTTCAATGAATGTTAGCTATTATTATTTTTAACACCATTCAAAATATATAGTTCACTTTAAACTTTCGTCCGTGCTAAAGACAAAAAATAAAAGGTGCTACAAGAATAAGATTTACTGATAAAGCCAAACATTTTCCCTTATACTATGTAAAAATGTGCTTTTTTCTCATTTCAAATAAAAAAGACTATTCGACGATCTCTGTGTGTAACAATCATTAGCTACTATGAGATGTCATTAAACAGAATTATGTCTAATCGAAGTCACAAAAACTAACACCCATCAAACAAGCAGCTCTGGTGTGGCTGGGAACTAAAACCCAG